CCCTCAGATCCCTCTGCTTCTTTCCATCACGAATTCCCCCCCCCCCAATATTCCCAGCGAATCCCTCTGGATCTCCCTGGCACCCTAGGGTGGGGGTCAGGGTGGGGGGGTCATTCCTGCTCCTTCCCCCCCCCGCAGGACATGGAGGTGTCTCCCACCGAGCTCATGAACATCCTCAACAAGGTGGTCACCCGCCGTAAGTGTCCCCAAGGGGTCCCCAAGGTGGGGGGGGCCTCGGTGGCAGCGGGGGGAGCTGCCCCCCCCTCCCCAAATTGCCATTAACATCCCCGGGGGGCGGGTGCACAACCTTATAGTAGCCACTAGAGAATCCCCACAAAGCTATAGGGGCAATTGGAGGGTGTAGGGGGGGACAAAGGACATTTGCTAATGCCCCCCGTTTAGTTTAATGCCCCCCCTCCAGTTTCGCCCCCACCAGGGTCTTTCTTTTGGGGGAGGTGGGGAATGCCCAACCCTCTATTAGCCACTGGAGAATCCCCCCGGATTCCGCTTGTTATGGGGGACAAGAGGCACCAAAACCTCCCTTGCTCGGGGGGCAGCTCATTTAGGGACCCCCCCCCCGAAAAAAATTACCTCCCCCCCCAAAAAATCTAACAAATTTGAAAAAAAATCTATCAAAATTCTAAATTCCAACAAATTGCCCCAAACGTCCCGCCGGGCGGCGGCAGATCCCGACCTAAAAACCGACGGATTCGGCATCGACACGTGTCGCAGCATGGTGGCCGTCATGGACGTATCCTTTAATTTTTTTGGGGGGGCACACATTTTTGGGGTGAAAAGGGCCGTTTTGGGGCCTCCGCGTGGTTTGGGCTCCCGCTTTCCCAATTTGGCCGTTTTCAGCCCCAAAATGGACCTTTACCCGGCGCCGGCAGAGCGACACGACGGGAAAACTGGGATTCGAGGAATTCAAGTATTTGTGGAATAACATCAAGAAGTGGCAGGTGAGGGGGGGCACCCCAAAATGTAGGGGGCACCCCAAAATTTAGGGACCCCCCAAAAAAACATGGGGGGGCGGGAAAACAAAATTCCTTAGGGAAAAGGGGAGGAAATGGGGGGGGGGGCTGGATTTTGGGGGAGAAATCGGCACTTTTGGGACTCTTTGGCTTGGAGGGGGCAAGATGGGGTTCCCCCCCCCAAGACCCAAATTCCTGGAGAGGAACCTTGGGATGAATCCCATGGGATGAATGGGAACTGGGAGGAAGGGGAGGAATGGGAATGGGTGGGGGGCACCCCAGGGTGCTGGGGGTACCGGGGGGGGTCCCCCCCTCGGGCCCCCTCCCCAAATTCCCCCCCCCCCCGCTCCAGTGCATCTATAAGCAGTTCGATTCCGACCGCTCCGGAACCATCGGAGCCCAGGAGCTTCCCGGAGCCTTCCAGGCTGCAGGTGGGG